ATTTGTGAAGTTTGACCTCTAGTAGACCTACTGAGAGTTGCATAAATAACTTAATTAGTTAATAGGGAGCACTGCAGTTAGTTTAGCAGTATATAAGGGGCCTGATTCTGATCTCACTTAAATTGTTTGTAATTTATACAATTCCACTGACTTCAGTGAAGTTATTCCTGATTTACACTTGTATATGTGTAGGATCAGAATCAGACCAGAATTTTTTTTAATGGAGAAACAGGAGACTTCTGGTTGCTCCTAAAATGTATTCTTTAATCAGTTAAAGGTCTACAGTTTCTTAGACCAGAAAGCCATGATTTGTTTTTAAATTTGTGTATTATTTCTGCAGTGGGAAGAGGTGCACATGCTTTCAAGTATATGTTAACTCTGACTTTTTTTTTTAAAATGTGCCGTGCAGAGCTGGGATGGGGAGAACATGCTTTCAGCTTGCATAAGGCAGTATGTCCTGTATTCAGAGGAAAATAAGGCTATTCCGGGTTACTTCAACCTATTCCTGTGTGCTAGGCCAGCATTTCTGTGTATAAGTTTTCAATTTCCCTTCCCTGGACAGAATACACAGCATTTACCCTGCAACACAGTGTATTCTGAGCCTGTAATGTCAGCCTGGAATGAAAAAAAAAGGGAAATGTTGCTCAGTACGAATGTACGCCCAAGATAGAGAACATTCTTTCTGACACTCCCAGCACTGACCTGCCCAGGAAGTGAGTTTTGGGTTCCCCGTACGGACATTTATATCTCTACCACTTGAGTCATTAGGACATCCCAAAAATCCTATTTTGTGTATGTGCAGTGGGTCACACTTAAAAAGTTCATTGCATTTTGAAAGATTTTACTGGTTTGATAGTGATTCCTATATTTAAAATGGGGAGTTTTGTTGGAACCATTAGTATCTTTTAAACTAGAAAAACTGTAAGTTTGACCTATGTGTGTATGTCTGTTCTTCTTTTTCTGCAGCTATTCATTTATGCAGATGTCACAGCATTCAGTGTAACCAGAAACTTTGCTGATGCTTCCAAACAAGGAATTGCATTATCCAATTCACTGAATTTATTGAATGATGATGCTTATCTTGGACATCTAAAAGACATTGTGAACAGTTGTCATATTTGCAAAAAGAAAAGGAGTACTTGTGGCACCTTAGAGACTAACCAATTTATTTGAGCATGAGCTTTCGTGAGCTACAGCTCGGATGCATACTGTAGTATGCATCCGATGAAGTGAGCTGTAGCTCACGAAAGCTCATGCTCAAATAAATTGGTTGGTCTCTAAGGTGCCACAAGTACTCCTTTTCTTTTTGCGAATACAGACTAACACGGCTGTTACTCTGAAACCTGTTGTCATATTTCTATTTTTTCTCTCCCTTCCAGTTACACCAGTTTTTTCTGAGATTTTGCCTTTTGATACGTAAGGGTTCTTGCAATGTTTAGAACTTATGAACTTGAGGCCAGATTTTTAAAGGTATTTTAGGCATCTAAAGATGGAGACAGACACCTGGTGGGACTTTTGACAGCACTTAGGGACCTAACTCTTATTGAAATCAATGGAAGTTAGGCAACGAGGTGCTTTAAAAAATCCCACTAGGTGCCTATCTGCTTCTTTAGGCATCTGAAAACCTTTTCAAATATGGTCCTATGTGCCTTTGAAAAATTGTTTACACTATCAACAAAGTTTGATCAAACCAGTTCAGGAGACAAACCTTAAATTATAAGGGTTTTCAAAGTGTTTGTTCACTGTAAGGGGTCTCTTTAATGTATCTGTGTAACTCTCATTAATTAATTAACTGGAATTACCTGTGCACTTTTAAAAGAGTATCCACTGGATACTGATGATTTAGGATTTGGCTGTCAGTCAAACAATATTAATCATCTCTTTCCAAAAAAGAGAGCTTAAAATATTATGTTGACGAAATTGTGTTCTTGTTCAGCCTGGGTCTTAAGACTTAATAGGCTCTTTGTGAATGAACAAAGATGCCATCAATAAATTTATACTAAAATATGTTAAGTGCACTCTATGATTTCTGATGAAGTTATTGTGTGAAAGGTAGAAGAAATTTGGACTAGTGCTTTCCAACAAATAATTTGCAGGCTAAGCATTTTTCTCAGTTTAACTATTTGTGATTATGAGGGATTAGATATATTTTTACTGCAAAATGAAAATACAGTGTATTCATGGGCCACTCAAATATTTGCTTGTGGTTAGAATGAGTGTACTTCCACAATTCTGCTAGCTTCTTAAACCTTGGCATGGAGATACTTTGGCTTCTGGAAGAGAAGGAAGGGAGATTTCTGGTTTCCTGGTAGTTAACATCAGTCATGCCTACAGTATGTGTGTTGGATTAGTATAATGAGCTATGCTTAACAATTCACTTAAATATTACTCCAGTTTTTGTTTTAGCATTTCTGTCATCAAGCCCTTCCCTGTTGTCAGTTACATTGCATTGAGAATGTGGGCGCACTTCTTAATTTGTTCTCTTCTCATAAGACTAGTACTGGCATCCATAAGAATTAAATGAGGGAGGATTGCCTAGTAGTTTGAGAAGGGACCCTGGAGGCAGAACACCTGAATTCTAATCCAAGATCTTTTACTGACTCATTGTATGGCCTTGGCAAGTGCCTTAGGGCTAGAGCTGGTCTGGATTTATTTTAATACGTTTCTGCAAAAAGTTTCAGTTTATCAGTTTTAATGAAACTTTCATTAGGAAAGGTTCCTCAGGTCCAGGATGGAATCTCTGGTCCAGGATAGAGGGATGAAGAGACCCCAGAACTGGCAATAGTCCAGTGATTATGGCACTCATGAGCGAGAGCCAGCTGCAAGTCCCTGCTCTGCCTCATTTAGACCAGGGACTTGTACACATCTTCCCACATCATGGTGAGTACTCTCACCACCCAGCTGTTAGCTATTCTGAACTGGGCTGCTCTGAGTCTCTTCTGTTGGAGTTGTGCCACTTTGAATAATTAAATATTCACCAAGGAAGAGGGATTGATTTAGAACCTGGTGGTTAGCACAATCAGCTGGGGTGTAGGAAACACAGGTACTTGAATCTGGATCTCTGACATCTCACATGAGTGCCTTAACCATCAGTCTATATAGTCAGTCTTTCCTTCTGGCCCAATAAATATTGAATTATTTCCACAAAATGGAATCTCTCCAACAGGAGAGATTGACTGACTCTTTAGAGCAGTAGGAAACTCATGATGGGTGTGAGAGAGTCAGGTTCAAGTCCTTTTAAGGCCTGGTTCCTTACACAAGTTTTTTTAAAATAAGTTAATAATAAGTATATCCTCTGGGATAGGTTGAATTAACTACAACTCCTTTTATTTGCCAAGATAATTTCTTATGTAGTGGATCATTATAAGTTTTTTTTTGAAGAAGACATGAGGTCTTCAATTCCAGATAACTGGAATTCACTCTTACCATATCATTCCTCCATTACTCTTCCAAATCACATGGCACATCTGCAAAATTAAATTTCAGTTGCATGGATTTTTAGACATTCTGATTCAATAATGTTCTGTAAACCCCACAATCATTACTTGGACATCTTCCATCATAGAAACTGAAAAAGCTTTAATGAGGATATAGTATAAGAAGCCATATACTACTCTAAAGGACATGTGTGCTGTGTTCCTATTGACTGTATTTTGAAATTCTCTATATTGTGATTGGGTACATAAAGGCAAAACTTTCGAAGTACAAAAACTTTAATTGTTATCTAGAATTTTAGAGGTAAAAAGTATCTAAAATTTTAGATGGAAATCATAATACATATTATACAACAGCATCACCATCACCATCATACAACCACTGCAATGTTCTGGAAAATGTAAATATTTATCAAATTCTGAAATTAGCTAAAAATCTGAAATCAGCAGCTTCTCCAACTGAAAAATTAGACTGGGAATCAAAATAAACTCTTACAATGGAACATCAGTTGCAACTGATGTCCCATCATTACAGTAGCAGATGTCTGCTATTCGCTTGGTCTACGTAATTTCTTGTTTTATATTGGTTTTACTAATTCTCTGTTTCCCGTCTATGAAACCTATTGGTTGAAGTAACTCACCAGGCTATATCTCTACTTTTCATACAATCTCAGTGAGTGATGCGGTTATAATGAGGTTTTTCTATGTAGTGGTTTTTTTTAGTCTCTTTCCTCACTGTGAGCCTAATGGGCACATTCAGACTCATTATGAAAAGCAGTCCCACCAGCTGAATGGCAATAAACTCATGAGCTTGTTTGCCGGGCTTCTCTGAATGTATAAATCAATTGCTGTAGCTCTAAAATGATATGGCTAGTCTGGTGGTAACTTTCTGCATTGAAGGAGTATGTATGTACTGGAGTTATGTACTACAGGTATTTTAGTGAACTCTGAAAAAGACCACACTGGTACAGAAAACACTCAAACATTTCAGCTAGCAGATGATTTCCCTTCCATCATTATTTTCTGTAGAATTATATCTGTGGGAAGCCAGTCTGTATGACTGTGTTTTACTGTATAGCAGGGAACTATCTGTTCTTATGTTGTTCAATGCATCCTTGTTCTAACAAACATCTGTATTCCCTGCATTTATTTGTTATATCCGGTGGGAGAAGAACACATAGGACACAAAGAGTATATATGGCTGCCCAGGATAAGACTGAATTGAAAATCTATTGTATCACTTAGTGATTACTCAGAATCTTGCCTAGTTAAGTCTGTTTGTTGTTTCTGTATGCTCACTGTAATTTAATATTGCTGTCGGGGGGGAACATACACTTTTTGTTATTGGTCACTGACTATTATATGATAGGAAATCCCTTACAGATCCTTCTTTCAGAATGATAAATTACAGCATTAAAAGTTTCTCTTTAAAATGAAAAATATACTAAAATGTTACTGTACCATTATGTCAATAGTCCAGGGATTAGAAAATCTCCTCTTATACCATTTTAAAATAGATCTGACTTGAAAAATGCTCACTTTCTAAAATGTTTTGGTTTTGGTCAGTGTTCGTCAGGTTCAACTCCAGCCATGGTTTCCCAGTGGAGGTTGATTCAGACACCAGCATCTGCCAGCTCAAGGAGGTGGTTGCTAAGCGACAGGGAGTTCCAGCTGACCAGTTACGTGTGATTTTTGCAGGGAAGGAGCTTAGGAATGACTTGACACTGCAGGTAAGTCTCCCTTGGTAGTTTTGTTTCTGGGATGCTGCCAGCTCAACTGCTTCTGTCTCTAATGCTGCCAGTCTGACATTCATGACTGAGATCTAATAGAATAAATAGTGCCTGGGGATTCCTTGAACTTTACTCCACACTGCTTCATTAATTCTGACCTTCTTAATTATGCATTAAAACAGCAAGCAGGAAGGATAGGGAGAGAGAAAGAATATAAGAGCAAGAGAGAGCAAAAGAGAGCTGTGCTTAGTGAATAAATGTTTACTGACTACAGGCGCAAGCTATGCACAATTTCTGTATCTGCTCAATTTCTACCTTTTTATTCCATTTGAATCTTAATGAAGCTGAATGAATGTGAATAAATTCTTCCAAATCAGGCTGCTCAGTCATCATGTTGTGCAATATTTGTAACCCAATTGTGACCCCTGGAGGATAGTTGTAAGGCTGCTGCTGTCTGTGTGTGCGTGTGCACGCTGATGGAGGGGTAATATTTGAAGGCCTGTTCACAGTAGCCAATGAGGTTTCCCCAAAAAGCACTGAAATCACAAACCTGTAGTTTGAAAGACTAGTGAGGAGGAGAAAGATTTATAAGTGGCTGAGTTCCTATTTGAATTTCATTTCCTCCTAATTAACTATTCTGATAAAAATAAAATGCAGAATGAATGGAGAGGGAAAAAAGAGCATAACAGGACAAGTAACAAGACTCTTTTTCTGATCATCTCTACCACTGTTACCAATATTGCCACTCTCATTTCATAAGCTTCTCTTTCTTCCTATGAGTGATATTTGTGGAGATGGCAGCATTTGCTGGGGGAAGCATAAGAACATAGGTTTAAGACATTTGAGAAATCTGGAAATAATATATGTATCAGCCTCCCAATACAAAACTAGAGATTGCTGAGTTGTTAGAACTACTATCCTGGCAGTGACATCAAAGAACAATGAGGTGCATTCTATAGCGGTTCAGGTGACTACATAAACTGTCCCCCACAGGAACAACTCTTTCTATTTTAATGAGCACAGATTAATTGGCACTTGTATTTTCAGCTGTGTGGGGGACATTGCTGTGCACAGAGTGGCTGCTGTATCTGGTTGCAGAGAGTCACTACGATATTGACATCCTATCACTACATCTTCATGGGCATGATATTTATTGCTTTGTCAAATGCTTTAGGGAGTTTGGGCACACAAAAGAAACTACAGAATGCAAATTGCTGTTGTCATTCTCCAAGGCATCTCCTGCTGATAGTGTTGATGCACATAGTCGTCATACATAAACTGCTGTGCTTTGCTTTTGGGTGATTTGTTTTTACTAAAGAAAATATATGGGGCCAAAAATGTTTTTAAGGTGAATTGAAAAGCCAGTTCCTACGTTTAGGGTTCTGTAGTACTGTCATAAATATAAAGGGAAGGGTACCCACCTTTCTGTATACAGTACTATAGAATCCCTCCTGGCCAGAGGCAAATCCCTTTCACCTGTAAAGGGTTAAGAAGCTAAGGTAACCTCGCTGGCACCTGGACCCAAAATGACCAATGAGGGGACAAGATACTTTCAAATCTGGAGGGGGCGGAACAAAGGGCTTGTCTATCTGTGTGATGCTTTTGGTGGGAACAGATCAGAAATGCAGCCTTACAACTCCTGTTAAGTTAGTTAGTAATCTAGCTAGAAATGCGTTAGATTTCCTTTTGTTTAATGGCAGGTAAAATAAGCTGTGCTGGATGGAATGTATATTCCTGTTTTTGTGTCTTTTTGTAACTTAAGGTTTTGCCTAGAGGGATTCTCTGTGTTTTGAATCTGATTACCCTGTAAGGTATTTACCATCCTGATTTTACAGAGGTGATTCTTTTACCTTTTGTTTAATTAAAATTCTTCTTTTAAGAACCTGATTGATTTTTCATTATTCTTAAGATCCAAGGGTTTGGGTCTGTGTTCACCTGTACAAACTGGTGAGGATTGTTATCAAGCCTTCCCCAGGAAAAGGGGTGTAGGGCTTGGGGGGATATTTTGGGGGGGAAGATGTCTCCAAGTGGTCTCTTTCCCTGTTCTTTGTTTAAAACGCTTGGTGGTGGCAGCATACAGTTCAAGGACAAGGCAAAGTTTGTACTTTGGGGAAGTTTTTAACCTAAGCTGGTAAGAATAAGCTTAGGGGGTCTTTCATGCAGGTCCCCACATCTGTACCCTAGAGTTCAGAGTGCGGAAGGAACCTTGACAGTTACACTTTAAGAAGCTTCTAAACCTTCCCGCACATGCTGAAGTGCTTGAGATTATAGTGGTGTTGTCAGGTTGTTTCAGGACGAAACGCAGAATCTGTTACTGGGGTCTAACTTTACTCAGGGAATCTGTAACCCAACTTTTTGCAGGGTAAAACATGAAACTTAAAACCTAGATGAATAAAGGAAGAATTGATTTTCAGATATTCAGGGCTGCCAACTCAGATTTATTTACACTGAGATGCCTTCAGTCAGGTTAATTTTAAGGCAGTTTTAAAGTTATTTACAATAAGCACAGACACACCAAGGGGAGATGTGCAATCACATCACTTCAAGAAAATCACAGGGAGGTGTCTCAGGAAGGTAGAATGGCTCCTGAAGTTCCTGAAAATGCACAGGCTGAACATCCAATACCACACCACAGCAATTTGCTGTCAGCTCATAGGAGTGGGGGGAACCATGGCCCCATTCCTTTCAGCTTTGCCACATCCTATTATGGGTGGTATGGATTTCTCCCTGCATGCCCCCTGAGCACAGGTATTGAAATTTGGCCTGACCCTTACATGGGCCATGCAAGGGTTAGGGTGGGAGCTCTATCCCTGCCTCCCCGCATTAATCTATTTAAGGCCAAGGCAGATTAGCCATAAGGACTGGTTTTTGGAATGTGTTTCAAGGTGACATTTGAGGTGCTGTTCATAGTTAAGGGGTAAATGTATTGCTGTGGAAAGCTGGACCAAAACTCTTCGGCAAGGCCTCTGGCTTCTGTAGTAGATGGGAAGTTCAACAACAGTTTCAGGTACCATTCCAAACTTCCAGTATTTAGTGAATTCTAATGATTAATACATCAGCACGGTTTAGTATATCCCTGCATTTTCCATCCATACTGTGTGTGTGTGTGTGTGTGTGAGAGAGAGAGATTGTAGACATTTTCAGGGCTGAAACTAGAGGTTTTGGTAGCTGGGAAGGAACCAACTGGCAGTTCATAATCATAGAGTTTGAGGCCAAAAGGGACTGCTAGATCTTCTAGTCTGACCTGTACATCACAGGCCACCAACACCACCCAGCACCCACACAATAAACCCAACAATTGAAATGACACCAAAATATTATGAGACTAGACTATTATGTGGCATAGGCAGAGAATAAGAGGGACTGATGTAAACCAGCGCCCAAGGACTGCACAATGGTGGGGAAATCATTAAGTGTGATGTATCCAAATAATCTTGGCAAGTGACCTGCACCCACATGCTACAGAGGAAGGCAAAAACACCCTCCCCCTTCCAAGGTTTTGGCAACAGAGGGCAGATAAAGATATTTGGCATGCCCAGCTGGATGCTTCTGCTACATGCTAGTGGTATATTTACTGTTGATTATATGTGTGTGTGTGTATACATACACACACATAGAGAGAGGGAAAGAGAGATGCAGCATATACATTGTCATCTCAATTTCAGAGTTAACGTTCTATTGAGATTAATGGGTCAATTCATGTGTCTCTTAGAGGTATTGTTTCAGGCAGACTCATGAAAACAATGTAACATTGGTTTATATTCAGCTGAAGATTTTAAGGATAATGCATTTGTTTTGCAACCATAAGGAGTAGAAACTTTTTTTTTAAATAAAGCTTAGATTCTGCAGAAAGAGTTGGGTATGTCAAGGAATCATGGAACACACAGGAGCTCTGCTCACAGCCTTGAAAGAAGGACGACAGAGATGAGTCCAAACCAAAAGGGAGTTTGATCTGAGTGGGAGTTCATTGCTGAGTGCCAGACTGAGACATCAACTAATGGTGGTAGGTGTTAAAAAAGAAAACTTTCTAAAAGATACCTTAACAGTGAATGGAAGTCTGCCAAGATGTGGTGACAGAGTGCTCTGATCCTAGTAGGTTCTAACCACGGAACAAACATTTCAGATAGGAAAGGATGCAAGGTGGCTGATGTGGAACATGAGCAATTGTCCACTTTATGAATGAAGACCATGAAGGCTGTATATGTATGAAGTACACTCCTTTTCTTTTCTGAAGAGGGAGAAGGAGGAGCTGGAATGGTAGTTGAGGTGTGTTAGAGAGAAATGAAGTTTCTGAATGGAGACGGAAAGGAAATTATCATAAGGAGGGAAATAGCAGATCGACACACTATATGGAAAATTGAGGCATGTGACATTAAAAAAAAGAATAAAAGATGCAGGAAGGGCAGGAGAGAAATATGTATGGAGACACTTAATTTCAGTACCTGCTATAGGTATATTGTCCTCAACAAAACAGAGCAGAATCGGACTACTAAGCACTCAACAAGTTATTAACAGACAAGTAGTGAAACTGGAGCCATGGTAAAAAAAAGAAGTAATCCTGATTGGTGACTACAGAGTGGGAAATGGGGCTTAAAAATCTGAGGGTCATATGAAGGAAGTGGGACAGTCAGATGCCTTCTGGCAGCACAGCAAATGATGTCAGAATAAGTGACTGATTAGCTTGAAAAATGCTAAAGGAATTCTTACTGATTCTAGTAAGATGTGGTGATAGAATGACAGCACTGAAAGAGTATTCAGTAAAATCAGGAATTGTTTCAGGGAGCTGATAAAAACATAGAAGATGGGGTGATGTGAGATCCTTTTTATTCCAAGCATGAGAGAAGGAAGGGATAGACTGCTACTGGATGCACCAAAGAAATAAAGAGAATGGTTTTGGGGTTCATGGAAGATTGGAATGCTGTGATGAGAGGTGGCCGTTTAGAATTTATGATCTCCATTTCAGCAGATTGGTTAGAAACCCTTCTGGGTTCAAAATATGT